TCCTGGACTTTGCTGTCGCCTCTGACTGCTAGCTGGGCAGTGCCAAGGAGTGGCAGTTCTGTGTGGTATAAATCACACAGGATTCACTCAGATTCAGGAGACCTGGGTTCTAGTGTATACTCTGTGACTAACTAGACATGTCAACCTCTCTTGGCTTCGGTTTCTTCGAGAGAAAAATACACGGGTTAGATTAGATGACATGTACAGTCCTGATATACAGACCTAAAATGGCCTATAAGACCTTTCGTGATCTGACCCCTGTTACCTCTTCTTTATTCTTGTTCACTCCGCCCAAGCCAATTGGGCTTTTCCTTCCCACAAACACACTGTCTTGTTTCATTCAGCCTCAGGTCCTTTGCATTTGCTGTCTCCTTTGCCTGGAACTTTGCCAGAATATTTCATGGTTTCTTTCTTCTTTTCATTTCATTCTCAATTCAAATGTCATCCTCTCAGAGAGGGTTTTTCTGGCTATATCTTTAAAGTAGCCTTTCCCCCAACTCACTTTCTATCCCATTATCCTGTTCTATATACTTCATGGCACTTATCGCTCTCTGAAATTATTTAATTTGTTTACGTACAAGTTTACTGTCCTGCTTCTTTACATGGTCCCTGTGAACTGCATAAGGGCAAGACACTTGTCTCCCTTGAGCCTGCTGAGTCCTGGTGACTTGGAGAGCTCACAAGGGGCACTGGATGTAGGTCTACTGAATAACTTAATTCTCTAGGCAGGCCCATTTGCACTTTAAGGGTATTCCTGAAGCTGAACCAAATTACCAAGCCACAGGGAAGTGGTCATAGTAAGCCATTTAAAATTAACATATGGGTATCCAAGTAGAACTTTAAATAATTTTATTTTTCATCAAATACAACTTTTTGTAATACTGTATTTCTGATTTAAGCAACCTCGATATATGAAAATTCTGGCAATTATCACAAATCCATTGGGGAGCAATTAGTTGTGTCACAATAGGATTCCCTATAGAGTACCAAATCCCCTTTTCCCCTTTTTCATCACCATTAGCATCTGATCCACCCACAGTTTTGGGCAGTTCACAAGGGGTGGCGTCCGTATGGAGCTGAGCCCAGGACTCACCACAGTTCTCCTCATCAGCTCCGTTCCCGCAGTCGTCCACGCCGTCACAGTGAAAAGCACGGGGTAAGCACTGGGTCAGGTTCCCACAGGGAAAGTATCCTTTTGGGCACAAAGGAGTGATTGTACTTCCTTCGGTCAGTGCAAAATCTATGTGAAAGAGGGGACAGAAGTCTTACGTAATGGGAAGAACTTGTTAATATGGCCAAACTCTTTTTGTGTTATGCCATTTAATTTTCACAAAATGCTATGAGTTGAGTTTGTCTGGTGTTATTCTTAGTGTACAGTTTCTCTGAAAAAAATATAGTGTTATAATTTTAATTATAACATGTAAAATAATCACAATCATACCAAACACCAGCTATACCAAGAGTGGAATCAAGACTCATTTTGAATTTGCTTCAGGAAGGCAATGGTAAACAAAACCAAAGCAATTGTCCTAATTTTGTATGAAATTAAAGACCTGTTTAATTTTGGTTTCCACTCCTGGAAACCAAAAGGTAAAACTATGAGCTAACAGGACCAAATAGGTGGATTTATTTACTTATTAATCCTTTATAAGGAAGATTTGAGGTGACATAATGAAAATACACATGCAAAAGGAGAGTTTAAGTGTGCATGACAGTGAAATCCAGAACCGCATCGGAACAAGGAGAGATAATATTGAGTAATAACATCTAACACTCATTGGGCTTACTGTGTGCCAGGTAGTTTGCACAGAGGTTAATCTCAGTTATTCCTTCAACAAGTCTATGTGTGGGTGATAGTATCCTTCCTATTTCAGGGTTAGGGAAGTTGAATGCAAAATCACACAGGTAGATTTGATCATCCCTCCGACCCCAGAGGCCCATTTTTAACCGTCTTGCTAGGGGTAATCAGGAACCTGCATTTCAAGGAGCATTAAGTCCTCTACGAGGATGAATTAAAAATAGTCTTCTTGTGTTGGGAATGTAAGAGAAAATGAATGAGAGTTGAACAACTGCTGGGTTGAATGAAAAAGCACAGAAAGGAAATATAATTAACATTTACAAAGTTACTATATCTGTGGATAGGATGACCAAAGAAATTCCACAATTTTAGATGCAAGAGACACTCTTAATTTTGAAAGAGTACTTTCCAGAAAATAAAGAGATGTGTTTTTTTTTTTTTTTTGTAAATACTTTAGTAAAAATTTGCAAGTCATGTATTTTTTTTTAAAAAAAGGGAGTATGGGTTGGACAGAAATACGCGAGGGAGATTAAGAGGTACAAACTTCCAGCTGCAAAATAAATGAGTCAAGGGTATAAAATGTGGGCTTCCCTGGTGGCGCAGTGGTTGAGAGTCTGCCTGCCAATGCAGGGGATACGGGTTCATGCCCCAGTCTGGGAAGATCCCACATGCCGCGGAGCCTGCGCATCGGGAGCCTGTGCTCTGCAACGGGAGAGGCCACAACAGTAAGAGGC